TAATTGCAGTAGATCAGGATGAGCAAGTGGCCTTAAACTCTGACCTCTATGGAAAATGGAAATCTGGAAAATCTGGACACTACTAGTTTTGACTTTGTGTCGAAATGTTTGTGTGTGTGTTTAATATACATGTTGCCGTTTAATGTTTCATGCATCAGGTCATGGTGTGAATATCTGCCCCCTGCCAAAGTTTCCCACCTCTGGGGTAGAACTCCTCTTCCTGAAGCTTCCTTCTGGGAAATGAAACCGATTCTGTATCACCCCTCAACATCTCCAGATCCAGGGACCTGAATTCAATTGGTATTCCAGGACTAAGAAGAAGGTATAATCATCATCTTTTACTTAGGTGTTGAGCAGGCCTGCAGCTGCCTTTGAACCCACAAGGGAGACCCCTCTCGTCTCTTGCACATACACTCATCTCTTGCACAAAATGAATAAAAATTGTATTTGATTATTTAGTTTATTTTTGCTGTAATTGGATGACAATATTATGTACTACATTTTCATTTGCTTCTGCCCCAGATCCTATATACAGGCATCTTGCTAGCCTTTCCCAATCATTACAGTAAAGGCCTGGGATTCCTGAATCCCAAAATATCTGAATTCTAACTGCTCCCCCTAAAAGGTTCTGATGAGTGATGGGATCCACAGGGAAGACAGGTTTTTTTCTCCGCTACCTACTCTTCAGTTGGCGTGGTTGGAGGATCATTGTATGATGCAGTGCAGTGGTGCCTCGCATTACGAGCACTCCGTTTTACGACGAAATTGCTTTACGTTGAAGGTTTTGCAACCGCAAAAGCGATTGCAAAACTATGTTTCCTATGGGGGAATTTCACTTTGCGATGATTGGTTCCCTGCTTTGGGAACCGATTCTCACAAAGCGATGATTTTCGGCCAGCTGATCGGCGGTTTCAAAATGGCCGCCGGGTAAAAAACATGGCTCCCCGCTCTTTTCTTGGACGGATTCCTCGCTGCACAGGCAGCAAAAATGGCCGCACTATGGAGGATCTTCGCTGGATGGTGAATTTCAAACCCCTAGGAACGCATTAATCGGGTTTTATTGCGTTTCTATGGGCTTTTTAATTTCACATTACGACATTTTCGTTCTACAGCAATTTTGCTGGAACGAATTATCATCGTAATGCGAGGCACCACTGTATCGGGAGGACTGAGAAGTATTAGATTATTGGATGTATACATCTGGTATAGTCCAGCTGCTGCCAAGCGGACCTCTGCAACAGCCAGGAAATTATTGGCATATGAGTTCCTTTCTGTACAACAAGCTGTGTTGGGCTTTGTCATGTGGTTTGCTTCCCCTGGATGAAAAATGTGGTTTGCTTAATCGTTCTGCTAGACATACATTACAGTAGGGGACCAGTGAAATCAAATTGCTTCTATACCAGTGGTTCTCAACCTACTATCTCCAGATGTTCTTGGACTAAAACTCCCAGAAGCTTCTCATGTTCTAGGGGCCCCTGTTCATACAAGGATACCAATATCTTTCAAAAGCATCTCATGTTTTTTTCCAATCTGTGGCCCCCGTCAAATGCGCCATGGCCCCCGCTGAGAATGGCTGCTTTAAGGGACTAAAAGTCTAGAGCAGTGGTTCCCAACTGTAGGTAACCCGAGGGTTCTTGGTTGCAACCCCCAGAAGCTTTCACCAGCACCTAGTCCAAGAATAACTGGGTTACCTAAGGTTGTGAACCACTGGGCTAGGCAATAACACATGCGAGACAACAGAGGAGTTGGACAAGGTAAAGGTGGAATTAAATCAAAGAATCTCATTTCTTTGAAGCATATTGGTTACCAAGAAGGCAGTGGTTAGAAACTTGATCCCTTCACTTCCTCCAGTTCCTACCAGCTCCAGAACACCATGAAGCTGATCAACAGATGATCAAGGTCAATGATGATCAACGATGACAGTATTTGCCATCTAAGAATATCAGGAAGATTCTCAGTTCCCCATTCTTGATCTAAGTCAATTGGCATGCTCTTTTCTTCATTTTGAGTTCCAAAGGCTGATTATGTCCTTCATGTAAAGACATCTTTCTTGGTTCCTCTGAGAACCAGCTTTATTGGATAATACAAAGTCATAGAATTCTCACGAGAAAGAGGAGAAACATCCTAATTCAGTGGTAACCAACCTTGGGCCTCCAGATGTTCTTAGACTACAGCTCCCAGAAGCCTTCACCACCACCTCTGCTGGCCAGGATTTCTGGGAGTTGAAGTCCAAGAAAAATCTGGAGACCCAAGGTTGGGGACCACTGCCCTCATGTATCCAAGCTTATTGCTCTACTGCAATCGTGTAGAGGCAGGATCATGGGCATTTGATGAATACACTAGGATATATAAGCCAGGAGCTGCAAATCAGAAGCCATAGGACAAAAGTCAGGAGCCAAAACCAAACTAGGAACTAGGGATGAGACGCCAGCTCAAGGTCAAAAACAAAGAGCAACCGAGAAGGCAGGACTACATCAGAGGTCAGAAAGACCTTGTTGATTGCGTGGAAAAGGAAGCTTCCAAAAGAACTCCTTCCTGTTCAGAGGTATCCTGTAGCCATTGTTGGTCAGCAGAGTCTGTCCAGGACTTGAGGATTCTTTACTGAGAAGCTGCCACCTGTAGTTCAATGACTTGCCACACAGGGCAAGGGCATGGACCCAGTAGCCCTGGTGCTCTTCCTCCCAAGAGTACAAAGCTCTGCAAAGAATTACATTGCTGAAACAAGCTTTGGAGATGTGGTGTTCTACTGGATGTCACAGACGGGTGATTTCAGGCAGCATCAGAGCACAGACGGCTGTCACCATTGCTTCTTCACAGACGGGCAGAGCTAGCTCATGCCCTTGATGAAAACTAATTTCCCATTCTCTCTTGTAGGGGGCAAGAGGAGCTCTTAAAAATCCATTGTCATGGCGCCCTCTGCCCCATTGAAAAGAAAACTATGAGGGTCAGGAAAAAGATATGAAAAAGAGGGCGTATTTGCCCCACAGATCTGAGCAGGGGCTTGTCCGCCCCCCCCCCTTGTCTCTCTATGAACTCAACACCTCTTCCATATTTCTACGATCGACTGTCTCCCAGGATCCTTAATGGGCTAGCTCTGTTCTCAGATGTGTAATGGAATCATACTCAATGGTGCAGCTGTAGAGGAATATTTTATTATTTATTTATTTAACTTATATGGCGCCCCCTCTACCCAAAGGTCTCTGGGCGGCTTACAACAATTAAAATTCAACTGAAACACAATAAAAGATAAAACATTGCTGTAGCAGTAGTATGGAAGAGTGCCTACAACCTCAAGGTGATGGTTGAAATAGCAGCCCCAATAAATAACGAGGAAGGAAAAGTTGTCAGCATGCTGTTGGGTTAAATAAATTATGCCCTCTTTTTTTAAAAGGTCCTAGTGGTGCCTGTGAACTGGAAGTAATTCCATGATGACCTTTGGTGGTGAGTAGCCAGGCCCGGTCATTGAAACTAGTGTCACACCTCCTGTTTCCTGCACAAACACCTGTGGCTGTTATAAGTAAAGGAAACAGGTTGGTAGCTTCCAGTCAAGGCAGCGCGAGAGAAGAAAAGCCAGCGTTTTAAGGTGGGTTGGCAAGAAACAGCATCAAGGTGAAACAATGCTATGTCATGCCTTTGGGAGGGAGGGATGTCCTTTCCAATCTCGTGCTGCATGTTTGAAGATACCCAGTGTGATGGGCGAGGACTCTGGAGAACAGGGTTCGAATCCCCTTTGGCCATAGAAACACAACAGAGAGTGGAGCTGGTGAAACCACCCCTTAAATATCTCACTTACCTAGAAGGCCCTATTAAGATCGCTGTCCCTTGGTTCCAACATGGCAGCACATAGCATAACAACTGGCTTGGCTCTTTGCAGTGGTTGTCTTTTCCTCATCGGGAAACTGACCTGGTGATAACCTTCCCCAACACTTCTTATTTAACAAACTGGACAAGGAGGGTCACCAAATAAGCAGATAAGTAGTCCTGACCAGTGTAGCACAAGCTTTTAAACCACATTGTTGTCAGAGGCAAAGTTACATGCCATGCGCCCAGAGGAGAGCACTGTCTCACATGATCTTTGCAGCACTGGTTGCTAGCGCACATTTGTGCGTGAAATGCTGGTTGAGTCATTCTGTCCTCCTTTTTTTTTACTTTTCTTCTCAAAAGTCTCTGAACCTCTTTGGCCATGCATCAGAGCAGCCGCTTCATCCGCAGGGCGGCAGCAGGCAGAAGCAGCACATAGAGCCACAGAGAGCCTCCAACTGGCAGCATCCCACGGTTGCACAATGAGGATGAGCAGCACTGGATGGTCGCATTCCGGCCCAGGCCCAGGCCCTCCGGCTTCTCCTTACAGAGTTTCTCCAGACTGCAGCTGCGCAACAAGGTTTGGCCTCCCTCTGGAAACAAGCACACCCATAATGACATGAAATACAGCAGTGCCTTGCTAGACAATGACAATCCATCCCACTGAAGTTGCTGTTTAGCGAAATCATCATCTAGCAAAAAACATTTCCCCATTGGAATGCATTGAAACCTGTTTAATGGGGAAGAATCGTCATTATCTAGCGAAGATTGGCCATAGGAAAGCCGCTTTGCGAACCGCCGATCAGCTGTTTAAATAGCTGTCTTGCGAAGCTTAGGTCCCGAAAACACCCGTTTTATGAGCGCGTAAGGAGCTGTCAAAATCCCTGTCTAGCGAAAATCGGTTTGCGAAGCAGGGACCAAACATTGTCCAGCAAAAATTCCCCCATAGGAATCACTGTTTTGCGAATCGCTATAGCGATCGCAAAAAGTCAATGTCTAGCGAAAAAACTGTCATGCAGGGTAACTGTCTAGCGAGGCACCACTGCATCCAGGCAGGGAGAGGACTGGCAGATCAGAAAGTAGAATTGTAAGGGTGAAACACTGCAGTAATGGCGATCCTTTATTCATGCTATTGATTAGCACTAATGGGAGGAGAAGGAGGGATGCTATCAAAGCTTAGAAAATTACTTTTTATAGTAATGTTTTATGCAGCTAGACACAAAAATAATGACTGTGTGCCACTTCCAATTTAAGGTGAGTCTTTTCAGAGTTTTCATGAGAGAGGGTACTCAGAAGTGGTTTAACTGCTAGATAGTTCGGTGGTTTAAGTATCTGGCTATGGAGCTCAAGGCCGGCAGTTCCGTTCCCCACTGTGCCTCATTGACAGGGGTTGTACTCCATAATCCGTAGGATCCCTTCCAGCTCTGCCATTCTAAGGTGGTTGGTGGTGGTTATCACCATCTTCTGGGAGCGTCCTGGGACAGTGCAGCTTGCCCAAGGCCACATAGGCTGGCTCATCTCCCTGGAGGCACAGTGGGGAATCGAACTACGAACCTCTGGTTCCAAAGCTGGATCCCTAACTCGCTGAGCTGTCCAGCTTAGTTACAAAAGACACTTCCCTTATGCGACTAAGACATTTTGGTAGATCCATTCATTTCACTCCATGCCCAATTTTATTCCTTAAAAAGAAAGGCGATGGGATAGCTAAGGGGGTGGCATAACACTGGAAAGATTTCACGCAAAATATCTTTGGAGGGAAAAAAAAACCTCTGCAGAGGTAAATTAAAAGTAGCCAAGATCGATTTCTCACTGCACCAAAAATTATTCCATTTCTTCAAAAGAAGTTGGTTCTGAAATGCAACTTTATTACCTTATTCTTTTTCAAAGAAAGCAAGTTCTAGGTTAGCTGCATTGCTAGTAAATTTTCCATTTCTGGTTGCCACCTGGGTCTGAGAAGCACCGAAGAAATAAACTGTGGCTACCTTAGTGAGGAAAGAAGTGCGGATTTAAGAATAAAGTGATACTGATGGTATTGCCTGTATCCCATTCACTGCCTGCTTGTCTGTGCACATGGATACCTGTCTCACCTGTGACGTTCACACACATGTTCTGTTCTCCAACGCATTTGACATGAGTCCAGTTTCCTGAGTCACATTCACCTTGTCCTGAATCACAGCAGCTGGCACACTCCAAACTATTCTCAGGTTTCTGCTTCGTTCCTAGAGGACAAGAAGAAAATGGAAATCTAAAGCTGTGACTCGGCAATATTGTTTTCCAAACATTTGTCCTACAAGGAAGTTGTTTCACCCACATGGATCTGCTCAATGCTGTTGCTCATTTTCTTCTCACTCTTCTTCCAAGATTTCAAGGTCCTCTTTATCCCCTTGATCCCAATTTCTTCCCTCTCAAAAACTCTTTGTGGTAGGCCAGGCGGAAGACATGGAGGCTGACCCAAAACCCCTCAAGGCAGAGTTTGTGAATTCACAGGGATTCAAACTCAGGGCTCAAATGTGATACTCTTGCTCAAGAACAGTGAAAGGTTTTTTCCTTATAACAGGCTTGTGGGGGGTCAAAGATGGGTAAATGACAGGCAAAGGCAGAGGTAGTTAGAACCAGCAGAATGACAGGATTACCTAGATCTGTATGCGCTATTTCATCTTTTTCTCACTCATTTATCTCATTGTTTCAGAACCCCTCCCTGTGCTGTTTCCCCCCTCCTTGCTAGGATCATTTCCCCATTTCTCCCTCCAGACTCTTCAAATATCCTTTGAAAGTAACTAGGTTTTACTCATTACACCTAAATAGCTCTATACCCGAAAAGTAACTGTAACTATTACTTATATTGCATTTCACCCAAAAGTAACTAGTTGCCCCTAGTTGTGTTAATGTAGCTAGTTATTTCTCAGCTCTGGGTGTCAGTAACTCACTTTGGAAGCCTATCGTAGTATGTTAGGGCTTGGTGGCACTGATGCATTTGGCAATACTCCTCAGGCCATATCTTCTGTCCATACCTCACTGTATCTAAGTCAGGGATGTTGGCAAGTCTTTGAGTCTGCATCCCAAGTCTGAGTCTTTGGTACCAAGTCCCTATTAAAAACAAGATTTTTCCCTAGGAAAAAAAGGGAGGAGGTGGGTGGGTTGCAAGTCACAAGTCAAGTCCAAGTCAATGGGGAAAAAAGGCTCGAGTGGAGTCTGTGTCACGTCTCTGGTGCAACTTAAGTTTGACTTGACAGTGACTCAAGTCCCCATCCCTGATCTAAGTTAGGAGAGCAGGAGGTTCAAGGGAAGTTACCTTGCTCTGAAAAGTGGCTGCAGATGCTTTTGATCCCAGGCTGGCCGTCATTACACAAGGGAGTCGAACAGCAACTGATTTCCAGTCTCCCCGAAAGGTCTGGGAGCACATATTGCCGTTGGCACAGTGTCTCCAGAGCACATGTCCGGTAGGTCATTTTCCAGGCACCGTCGATCACTAGGAAGCAAAGGATGTAGCAAAGAATGTAACACCACCGACTGGAAAGGGAGGCATTCCCATCACCTTTACTGCCGTTCTAGGAAGAGGTCACTGCCTGATCGCTTCGAATTAGGGCTGAGTGTTGGTGGGCAGTTCAGAGGTTGTTGAATCATTGCCTCGGTCCATTCAGTCAGCATGGATGATGGTCAGGAATGCTGAAGCCTGTGGTTCAACAACATCTGGAGGGCATGAAGACTTCCCACGCCAGGGGGGACCTCTAGTGACTAACTGGAACTTGGTTCACAAGGGTGGTGGTGATTCCACTCTTGGTGTTCCACCAGAGCTATCGAAGCTGGCTGGATAGCTCAGTGGGATAGTCATCTGGCTATGGAGCCAGAGGTTGGCAGTTCAGTTCTCCACTGTGCATCCCAGAAGAGCCAGCCTGGGTAGCCTTGGGCAAGCTGCACAGTCCCAGGGCACCCCACAGAAGAAGGGAATGATAAGCCTCTTCCGAGTGGTCTCTACCCAGAGAACCTTGGAAATAGTCATCCTAAGTCAGAATTGACTTGACAGGACACAATTGTTGTTGTTGTTGTTGTTGTCGTTGTTATCCAAAGTGCTGAATTTCAACTGCACGATTGATTCAGCATTTGGCTAACTCCTTTAAAACCTACGGTGGATTTTCCACTGCCACAACATCAGGGTCATCAGCCACCGCTACCAGCAACACAGCCCCAAGCACTGTGCAAGCAGTATTGAGGAGCATAAGGCAAGGACAATCTGAACATCAAGAAAGGTCAGTGCAGAAGGACCTAAGGCTTTTATGCAAAAAAAAAGTCAACCCCCTTGCCTTCTTTCTACATTCTCCATTAAGAGAGAGAGAGAGAGCTTCCCATTTACTCTCCTGCAATCTTTTCTGCTTAAAACACACACACACACAACCCTTTTTTCAGAGAGGTCCCAGTTTACCAGTAAAATCCATGCACTGGTTCATGTCTCCCAAACACTTGATCCGGGTGGCATTCCCTTGGCCGCAATCTCCGGTGCCACGATCAAAGCAGCTGTAACATTCCATGCCGTTGGGTTCCTGGCGGTTGGTGTGAGGAGCTAGGACACCAAAGAAGAAGAATGGCACATAAGGGTTTTTTTGGAGCCATTCCTTCGAGTCTCCCATCCACACCTGGCTGCACCAAACTCTTGACCCTTTCCCTCTCTTACATTTACAGAAGTGGTGTAGAGAAGCAGAACTACGTGGGAGTTAATTCAAGAACTAGGGATGGGGTTTTCAGATTTTCTAGGAATTCTCCTTACCTTACAAACCCCTTTTGTGAGCTTCTGTCCTCTCTACCATATACAACCATACACAAAATCCAGTGCAAATTGTTTTCTTCTTGAGCATGCATTTTCTTTCTTTCTTTCTTTCTTTCTTTCTTTCTTTCTTTCTTAATGACTGACTGACTGACTGACTGACTTTTTTGCCCCAAAATATGTAACCAGCTACTCTTCTGTTTGATTGCTGCTAAATTTCCTTCTGGTTTTCTAAGGTGTCATTTTTTTTAAAGAGTAGCAAACGTTTTCTACCCCAATTCCTGAGCTATCTCCTTTTAATTCTTATTCTGTCACTTTGATTGTGGAAGGACATCTGCACATGCTCAAATGAACTCTCTTCTTTTATCAGAAGCTACAGAGGAAGTTAAAACATCAGTGGAAATGCCAAGCATGAAAAGACTTAGCTTCCAAGACTATTTAGCTGTCTATTATGGGTTAAGGTTTAAAAATCTGTACCAATGCAAGCTCTGCATCAAGAAAGAGGCCATTTGGAGGAACTAAACAAACTTAATCCAATTTGCACAGTTTTGGAGATTCCCCCAAACTATCTGCTTTTTTGTGATATTTTATATAATTTTTTTTTCCATATCTTGGGAAGGACAAAAAGACCACCCTTGGAAAAAATTCACTTCTCTGGTTGCCAAGATTACACCCTGCCTTTCCTACACTTTCAGACCTGTGGGTGAGAAAACTGCTTTTTAGTGAAACAACGAAGGCCTAGATTTTTGCAAAGCTAAATTCTACACACAGTACAACATTAGTACTGTAGAGCTTTTTTTAAAAAAATGCTATGCTCACATGGCATCAGAAGACATATAGATCCTGTCTATAGAGTAGACCATGGCCAATGATAATGCTGAAATGATAATCAAAGCCTGCACAAGTTCTAAAAAACACATATCACCACATACTTCACCCCTGATATTTGTAATTATTTACAAGGACGTAATCTTAAAACTGCACAGCTGGAAGAGACCCTAAGGATTATTGAGTCCAGCCTCTGCCAAGGAGGCACAGTAAAACTCCTAAACTCTGGCTCCACACCCAGATGCTTCAACCAGCCGAAACGTCCTATTTTTCTACTATCCAGAAGCCGAGGGAGGGCTAAGAGCTCCAGTTTTTCAGAGATGGTGAACCCATTCTGGATTTCATCCAAGCTTTTCACAGCAGCTATCCGTAGTTTTAAACCGTTCAGTCCGAAAACATGCGTGGATTCACTGTAAGCTAGTCAAACATGTCTGACTTAGTGCCAAAAAGATCCCCGAGGATCTCCCCCAACTCTGCCTTCTGACACCCATTTATATTTTTACACGAGAGATTACAGTCCTTCCCTCCTCACTTACCACCTGTGAATTGGGTATTGCAGAGGTCTGAATCACAATAATATGTGTGATGAACCTCCCGGTCATCTTCTGAGTATACATTAGATGTCCGGTTGGATGCTCTCTCTGCTGAACAGCCCTTCATCACGTACTGAGCAATTTCGAGATCTGGAGGACAGAAAAACATTGGTTTAGGTATGCCAAGAGAGCCACCTAAGTACAGAAACAATGTCCTAAGAGGAGAACTGTTGGACACAACACAGGATGAAAGTACTATGAAAGCATGAGGTAAAATTTAGAGCATTAGAAGCCTTCAGCATCCTCTCTCAGAAAAAGAAAGATATACCCAAGCAAGCCCCATCATTAGAACTTCTCTCTGAACAGGGAACTGGGGAATTACTACTGACACATTCAAAGAAAAACAACATTAATTCCTGACTCAGACCTGGATGTCTTCTCCTCACCCTCTGTCCATGCTCAGAGGCACTGTTTCCACACTGAGGAAAGCCACCCCTGCAAATACACAGTCTAGACTGTCCGTCATCAGAGATTAGCCCCAAGTCTTCCTTCTGTACTTAGCCTCAGCTTTTGGACACAAAAATACCAAGAAAGAAAATATATTCTAAACATGCACGAAAGGATTCACTTTCAGTAGCGGAGGTTCATGGTCAGCCCACGTGCTTCTAACAATGGAGGAAAAAACAACAACCAGGTCTGGACAAGTGAGATTTAGCATTAAGCACTGGAGCTTTGTAGATATAAAACAAACTCGAGCCACTTAAACACTTTCAAACTCACCAGGTAACATAAACACTCCTGAGTACTTGTTTGAATCTGGGGAGAAAAAATTGAAAGCAGAAGATCAGAACATTTTTTTCTGACGTTCATATGATGCAAATCTGTCTTTCCCGAAAGATGTCC